TTCATGATTGTGACTGTGTTCTGGATCTTAAGCAAATAGAACTACCATTGATCTTGTTAATTTAATTAAGTGATTCCTAATTAAGATACTAACAGGATGTTGGCAGCTAATGGCATGAAAACTAGTGCTGGCTCAAAGTGCATGTTATAATTCATGAGATAGATGATGATGATGATGGTGATGATGATGATGATGGTGATGATGATGATGATGATGATGACACTTTCTTGCTCTCTCCTATTGTGTAATAGCTCAAAGAGAAGAACATTCTAAAATATATTACACAGGAGGAAAAACAGCAGGCAACCTATAGTGCACATTATTTATGGAAATCCATATGTTTACCCAGAGAAAGAATGACAAAAAGAGAAAGACAGAGGATTGAAGTCACCTTTTTTCTAGTATGAGATAATTGCATTAAGAAAAATACATTGATCTCTTTCAAACTAATACCTTATATCTATTTATATATATATATATATATATGTATAACATACTTAAATGCATACAACATGTTTATTGGCTCAGCAAATATTTATTGTGAGCATATTTGATTGGCCATTAGAGAATACAATGCAAATTGTGCTACTTGTTTCCTTTTTGCTTCTATACCAAGCCCAACATAGCAGCATAATTTCTCATAAAATAACAATAAAGAATAATAAAGTAAGCAGAGCAGATCCAAGAAAAACCACTGCTGAGATAAATTGAGTTGATTGTTATTAATCTGTTTTCTAATGATTCTGACACATTGGATAAATCACTCACTCGCTCCTGAATGTAGCTCATTTTCATGTATGCATGAAATCAGTTCACCACCTACATTCTCTGGCCTGCAAACCTCTAGCCTGTGCTTAGAGGTCCCTTAAAATTAGAATTTCTCAAAGCTCTGCTGTAGCACATGTGTGTTTCACATATTAGTAACTAGAACATAAGCATACTCCAGTAAATTTAGAAGATTCACACCAAACTATTTGTCACTTCTGCATTTCTATGTCTCTTGAAATAATCATTTCCAAAACAAAATGAGCTTTTGGTAGAAAAACAAACATTTTACTTCCACTTACATAACTACTTTTCTTTGAATATGGTAAATTAAATACTTTAATGCTTCATAAAATACTTTAAAAAGTCAGATTTGTATATATATGTATATATACATGTGTATGATATGCATATATATGTATATATAAATTATATATATATATATACATTATATATGTGTGTGTGTGTGTGTGTGTACATATATATATATATGTATATATATATATATATATATATATATATATATATATATATAGGTTGAGAATGAAGATTAAGGCTAAGACCCAGAGCTAAAAGCAAGGAGAAGTCACAATGTTAGAAGCAGTAGTTGAGATCTGAGTCCTGCATCATAGCAGATCAAATTGGCAGAAGAGCAGAGACTTAGGAACAAAATGACCAGAAGGACAGAGGTGAATATTAAGGACAACTCTGTTCTGCTCTACCACCTACTTTTACTCTCCTTAGTACTACAGTGGAAAACACCTGAAATAAATCAAATCCACCCATTCTTGTAGTGTTAATCTTGTATTCCTCCTAACTCTAACCAGGTACCCACTGCTTTAAGAATCCTTAAATATTGTAATATTTACTCCCACATAGTAGCTTCTGATATACCATTATATAATGCTTACATTAATATATTAGTACAAGGATTGTATATTTTTCTTTAACTTGTCGATCTCTGTAGTTTCTCTGATGCATGAAATATATTTTTACTCTTGCTGAAAATGTTTGCCAAATAAAAAATCCCAAACAAAACAATGAGTTGATGAAGGAATATTCATGCTCATTTTAATCTACCCAACTAATTCCTGCCCTTGTTACTGAAAAACAATAGTATTTGCAAGAGATCATCCGTGAAGCTAGGTTGATATCCTACTGTGTAGATATATGAGCTATATATACGTATACCATATATACTATAGGTAAATACTACACATATAACACTTAGATGTAAACTATGTTTATGTAGCATACAGTGCAACAAATCCAGATACAGTAGCTCTTATTAAATATCCATTACTTGGAGCTCTCATGATGTACTCATTCTTAACTTTGAAATGCAGATGCTCTTGTTAAGTTGCTGCAGAAATCTGGACTGGGATGCAGCTCAGTGGCAAAGCAGTTGCATAGCAAGTTTAATGTCCTGGGTTCAATCCGCAGTACCAAAAAGGAAAAGACAAAAATATTACAGTTTTAAAAAGTTACTGAAGAAATCATTTCTAACTTGTCTTTATAGAATTCTTCAGACTACAGACTGAAGAACTAATTTGTTAGCTAGAAACTGACATTTTGAGAACATAAAGAAATTAGTGAGATAGGGAAATAGACTAATAATAATGTAGTCCTTCTATTTTGTGAATCTTGCTTTATTTTTTATAACACACATTAAAGCATAATAGATATATTTACTATTCCCATTTTCCTAATCAATCATATTCAAATGGCCCAAGGATTTTTTTTGTCAGTTGTGGGGCCTGAACTCTGGGCCTGGTTATTGTCCATCAGCACTTCAGTTCAAGCTAGCGCTCTACCACTTGAGCCACTTACGTTTTATTCTGCTTATATGGTACTGAGGAAATGGAACCCAGGGCCTCATGCATGCAAGGCAAGCACTCTACCATTGAGCCACCTTCCCAGCCCCAGATTGTTCATTCTTTTTTAAAAAGTTTTTATTAATAAGTTTTTTTATTGTTAAAATACTGTGCAGAGGAGTTACAATTACATGAGCAAGGTAATGAGTACATTTCTTATCAAGCATTGTTGCCTCCTCCTTTGTTTTTCCTTACCATCCCTGCCCTACCATCCCCTCCTCCCCCTACCGCCAAAGTTGTAAAGTTTGTTTTTCAACATAATGTCTTGTACATCTCATTGTTGCAATGGGTCCACCTGTATCCCTATTTAAACAATTCGTTTTTTTTCTTCACCTCCCCAAATTATACCAACATCAGATACAGTGAAACAGGAGTTATACTTTGGGGGAGGGACATACAAAGCAACAAAGAAATCTTATAGATGTGTTAGAAACAACAGCAAGAAAGAAAAACCATTTGAGTCCTTATCTTAGGGTTCATTTCTCCTAACATCAACTTATCTGACCGTTTCTGCTTGTCTCAAACATTGCCTATCCCTTAAGAATCTTTACTCCCAGTAATGATCTTTATTCTGGTTCTACCTCATTTTTCTCATTTTAAAAATGTAAATATATGCCAGAAACTATGAAGTTGTATACACTGTATGATATTTACCAAAATTTCTGGGACCAGAACCACTTACAATGACCCTTCTGCATTTAATCTTCCCTTTGAAAGTCATGGGTGAGGATCAACATCTTTACAATATATTAATAGATATATTTGAGAAGCATTGTATACAGAAAGTTCCAGTAGAATCCCTCTGTATGTGATCTACACATGAAATTATTCCACTTAGCCAATCAATGGTATAAGATTCCCCTACAAAACACTATAAATGACTGCTTTTCTTTTTGTTCACATTTAGCTAACTCGGAAGTCATTCTTGCCAGAAATATACACAGTTAAATTGCATATTTAGTTTTCTGTCACCTTGTAATATACAATTCAAATGATAATGTCATTTTAAAATGAGGGCTACACTCAGAACATCTGCTTTTAAATATGGGCCTTAAGATATGAACAGTGGATACTGCTAGATTTGTTTCCATCATTCCACATCAGTAGAAACTAAAGACTTCAGGGATAAAGCTTAAGATGTAAAGTTATTAGAAAGATGACATAACAAAAGGTACTTCAGTGCTTAATGTAGCAAGATTAAGATTGCTAATGTGATATTGCTCATTTGTCAATGTAACACAGAGAGTTGTACAACGTTCCTCCATTTACTGCCTCAGGCAGCCTGTGAAACAGACATTTCATCTGGATAAAACCTTGTTACTGAGGTCACCAAGTAAACAGTTAATGATGCAGAAACTCTCTAGGGATTCACTGAGCACATTTAGATGAGCAGTAGAGAAACATTCCATCTGAGGTAGGGGAATTGTGTCAAAGATACTAACGTGGAATGGAAAGTGGACATACAAGCCTTTTTATACTCATTGAGATATTCATATTCATTTCTTATTTTCTTAAACCATGAAATAGTTTCACTTACCTTTTCATTCTAATGATGAATGAAAGAATAATAATGATCACACTGCCTAGCTGTGTGATCTGACTGAATGAAAGATTGTGAACTATTCCAGTTGTTTTTTTTTTTTTTTTCCAGATTTGCTGGTCTGTTTCTGAGTAGCAGCTTCCAGTTAATGATGACGATGAATATTTGACGAGAGATGATCTCACATGGGTAAACATCGTCATAGATAAAGCCTACTTCAACTAGACACTTTTTGAATTATGAACAAAAAATATGCCCTTAAAATAAAAACTTCTATTTTAACCTGTTCTCTTACCTTCAATTTCCCTCCCACTTGTCTTATACATGTAATCTGTAACGTAGACTTCTTTCAGTTAAATCTCCTTGTATTTCTTTTTCAGGAGAAAAGAACAAATTTTATTGTAATATAAGTCTTAGGAACATGTTACAAATACTCAGTTGTTTAAATAAACAAAAATGTTTTCCTTCTTAAATGTAAACATCCAGTAAGTAAAACATACATAATATTCCAGATATAGCAAAACCAGAAATTCACTTTTGAAAGGTGTATTTTGGTATATTTGATGGTAAGGATGGCTGTCTTAATACAAAAGTACTTTAGCAATAGAATTAGGTCATTATTATTTAGTACTGTACTTCTTCACTCAGCTAACCTTATTTGATCCGAAAATCATTAATTTCTGTATAACTCTGGCTATACGACCAGGCCACAGAAAAGATCTGAAATATCTAATAGTCATTTGGCTACAAAAGAATGTTTTCTTGAGACTTGGAGACATTCGTCACTTTGTATTTGAAGGCATTCTTCAAGGAAACAGTCTTTAAAACAATGCACAGGACCTGGGTTCCCAGAAGGGATTGCTTCCTGCTCTAACACCCACCTGCAGGGCATCCTTTCCGGCATTTTGTATGCAGTACTGTAGAAGATGGGCAGCTGCCTGGGAGACCTTGATCCACTCCACACAGGCCTCCAGCTTCAGTTGCTCCTCTAGGTGCTGCAGGCCGCTCTTGCTGGCCCCAGAGGACATGGCAGTGGCCGTGGGGGATCCGAGGGTGGTCTTCCCTGTATTTTTATTAATTTAGCTGCCTCATTACATTTCATTCTGGTTTCATAACCACCAAAATTCTTTTTTTTACTAATTCTTTTTAAAAATTATATTTAACTTGTGTACAAAGGAGATCATTAACAAAGTAGTTGATGAGTACAATATATATTAATCAATTCACCCCTTTCAAAATTTCCACCCATCCTTTCTATAATGCCTATCTCACACTTTAAAAAAAAAATCTTTTGTGGGCTAGGAAGGTGGCTCAGAGGTAGAGTGATTGCCTTGCATGCATGAGGCCCTGGGTTCGATTCCTCAGCACCATATAAGTAGAAAATGCAAGAAGTGGCACTGTGGCTCAAGTGGTAGAGCTCTAGCCATGAGCTAAAGAGCTGAGGGACAGCGCCCAGGCCCAGAGTTCAGGCTCCACGACCAAAAAAGAAAAAAATTGTAAGATATATATTGAATTCTTGACTATATTCTTCTCTTCTACATTTGTCTACCACTTTCCTCTTGACCCAACCCTATCCCAGGATTTTTAGTTGAAGTTTGACTTTCTTAAATTTTACTGGATTAGAAAGTGGTATTATCACTGTTGTAAGCACATGACTTTACCTTGAAATATATGTGCTTCTGCTTGATGTTAACATATTATAATACTGGGTTAAATTACTATATAATCATCCAGAAGTTAATTTTTTTATATTTTAGATTTTTAGTGCCTTTGGCTAAATTTATATCTAATGTCTGCTCTTTATTCTGCCAGATAATATTGTATACAAGTGAGTGTATGCTAAATCAAATATGGAAGCTAAAGTAAGTATTCTTTATATAAAAAAAAAAGTCCCTCAATGTCCTTCTATTGCATCAAATTTCTAAAATAGCAAAAATTGCTATTTTCGTCTACTGAGGGCAAGCCACTATTAAAAGACCCAGCATAAAAAAATGTTGATTGCCTTTATCTGACTATAATTTGTATCAATTGAGCAGTACAATAAATGTCAAAGTAACATCCACATAATGGCAAAAACAAGGCATAAAACCCAAACTCGATATCCTTTAAATGTGCCCTGGCTAGAGCCCTTGAGATTGTCTCCAGACTTGTAACACAATCAGGGCTGAGAAATACCATGAAAATGTTTTCTTTCAATCACGTGTAATTGGTATTCTTAAAGTGAAGGAAAGAAAATAAAGGGGATGGGATCTTTCGATTTGCTGCTTTTGTTTGGAATTGCTCCAAATCACAAGTAACTACAGGGCAAATTGACATCTTCTCGGTTCAGTTGTAACCTTTTCCTCCTCCATTTCTTCTAAAGGTGTGTAAACAAACAGATTTCAGTCAGGGCATTCAAAAGTTAGTCTCAAAGCAAACTTCCTTCCTTGCACTTGAGACTAATCACAAACTGGCTTCATTTTCACATTTCCAACTGTAGTTCTCTTTTTCTCCTGGTCATAAGTGTTGATTTCTATAATGTTTCTTAATTATTATTGTTTTGTGAATGAACGGTGCAAATTGTCACTTGAATAACCTGATCAGGTTCATACTTTCTGCCTTTTTCTCCATGTTTTTTGCATCCCTTATACAAAAATAGCATGCTCATCCATCAAGATCTTTTTTTTTTTTTTTTGTCGGTCATGGGGCTTGAACTCTGGGCCTGGGCGCTGTCCCTCAGCTCTTCAGCTCAAGGCGAGCGCTCTACCACTTGAGCCCAGCGCCACTTCCGGTTTTCTAGTGGTTTATTGGAGATAGGAGTCTCACGGTCTTTTCTGCCCTGGCTGGCTTTGAACCGCGATTCTCAGATCTCAGCCTCCTGAGTAGCTAAGATTACAGGCGTGAGCCACCGGCGCCCGGCTCCATCAAGATCTTTTAAGACATTCTCAAGCATCTCAAACATTGATCTTCCTCTTCCCTTCTTGATGGTGCTCATTTTAGGACAACTGCTGCATATATCAGGCCACTAATGTGGCAGGCATTCATTCAAACAACAACTATGCAGTGAGCCTTTCTCAACATCACACATTTTACTCAGCATCAAGACTAGACTTGGAAAACAGGTATAATTATCTAGCACCGAAAGATTCACATGCTAGTTACAGGGAAATACATGATAAAAATATAATGTATAAAATGCTTCATGTAGAAATGAAGCAAAACTATAACATGTTAGAGTAAGAGCAAGAGTCAGTAAACTTGATTTAAAGAACTGGAATCTAAATAAAATTTATTTTCTCTATTTGTAAAACTTTTTTGTAGTTTTGTATTTGCTTATTTGAGACAGTTCTGGGGCTTGAACTCAGGGTTGGGTGTTCTCCCTGAGTTTTTTTTTTTGGGGGGGGGGGTCGAAGGGTCTGGTCGTGAGGCCTGAACTCTGGGCCTGGGTGCTGTCCCTCAGCTCTTCAGCTCAAGGCTAGCACTCTACCACTTGAGCCACAGCGCCACTTCCAGCTTTTTTCTTTTTTGCTTATGTGGTGCTGAGGAATTGAACCCAGGGCCTCAGGCATGCAAGGCAAGCACTCTACCACTGAGCCACCTTCCCAGCCCCTCCTTGAGTTTTTTTAACTAATGAGTAGAGCTCAACCACAGGAAACAGCTCTGCTTCTGGCGTTTTAGTGGTCAATTGGAAAAAAGACTCTCACAGATTTTTCTTCTCTGGCAAACTTTGAACCATGATCTGCAGATCATGTCTTTAAAAACTATTGTTGTTGGAGAGGAAGATTGCAATGAGTAAGAAGAAGTTATAAGGTATCATAGGAGATTTTAGATAGCAGTGATGTGTTTTTTTCTTGATTGTGGTTGTGTTTATGCAGGTATGTACATATACCAAAATGGAGTGAATTACACAATTTAAACATATGAAATTTATTATTGTATGACTATTTTACCTCAATAATTAATTTCTTTGATAGTCAACTGAAATCATATAATTTTTATTCATAGGAATTAGTGCCTTGTGGTGGTCCAGGCTGTGGCACACTTAACTATATATATTAAGGAAAACGTCACCAGTTAAAAATGACCGTAAAGCAAAGAAGTTTTCTATCATATGCATAGATGATTTAATTATACATAGACTGCTTTTCAGTTGTAATTTTAGTAGAGTAATTGCTAATATAAGCAAATTGTGAAATCAAGGATCTATTCTCAAAAGGTAATCAGTTTTAACCTGAATGAACAATGGTTATTAAACCATTTAACTAATCTTCATAATTAGATTTCAATTTGGCCCTACCACATTTTTAAGGAGCCAGGTAGTACAGAAGTACAGTATTCAGTGCTTTGGGAAACTGGAGTAGCCAAGATTCTCAAAATTATTTCTTTAATGCCTTCAAATGTTTACCTGAAGTTTACAGAAAGTAAAAGCTACTACATAACTTACTTTCAGATCCACTGTGAAATGTCTTCATGTACCATGTGTCACCGACATGTCACAAACCCATTTTCAAACATTTTAAAGCTAAGAAATTATTTAGTTTTAAAAGTTTAAAATTTTTCTTCTCTCTCACACTCTATATATACTTAATAGTAAAAACAAAATTTAGAATTTTCCTTAGTAACCTATTTTAGAGATGAACGGATGAGTCAGTATGCGATGGAAATTTCCATAATTGTCATCAAAGCTTAGGCTTTTAAAACTGGAGGAGCTAAAGAAATCATCTAATTGAATTCTTCATTTTAAAGATGAAAAATTGAAACCTGCGGTGCCGAACAAAATTGCGATACTCAGGAAAGAGAGAGTGGGAATTAAAACCCAGAGAACACTTACTTTATCTTCTCTCTTGAGAATTACAAGCAAAAAGAGAAGACAGATCTTGAGATTAAAGAACAAAATTTCCCATGTCCCAGAGTTCCTCAAATTACTATTCAAAGAATGAAGTGAGGCTATCTGCTCCACAAGAGCACTGGCTTCTGAATCCTTCAATAGAACAGGCTTTGTGCACACTTCACTTGTTAAAAATGTCATGAATATTAAATAATTGACAGCTGCATGCTTTGACCCATGCCTGAAGCAAGCGCCAGGTATATTAGAAACAGCATAGTTCTACAAAGAATAGAAGGAGAGAGCTAATTAAATGCTGTAGAACTCATCTGCAGAGATTGAGATGCCCTCTGGCATTTGTTAACACCAGGCAAAAGTCCCTAATTATAGCTACAGTGTTCATGACACTGAAGTGCTTAGAACCAGCCTGGTGTATTTTTCCATGTCTATCATTTTATCAGGAAATGTGAAACCATGAAGGAACTTGACAGGTGTCATTTTACTCAAATGGAATGGCTCTCAACAAATGTAACAAGGAAATGCATTTTCCCAATTAGATCAAATTAAGTAATGAAAATGCCTTCTTTGCCTCTTCCTGTGAGTTCATAAAGGCAGGGACCATAAGGAATAACTCCAGCCTTGAGAGATTGACAGTCTGGTCAGCAGGGTGATGCTGTCACCGCTAGAGTGTGATCCATTTGAGTTGAAAACTGAGAGGAAAACAATAGCATTTAGTTCAATTCTGAAGATGTTAACTCACCCTTAAGTAGGACTGGTCTCTGTGTTTGATCTTATGCATGAAGACCACTTTACAATCAAGTTTACAACCGTGCTTATGCATGCTCTTGGAGTCTGTCTAAAGCTAAATCTGTATTTTATTTTTTCGGTTGTGGGGCTTGAACTCTGGGCCTAGGCACTGTCCCTCAGCTCTTCAGCTCAAGGCTAGAACTCTACTCCTTTAGCCACAGTGCCACAGCTGATAAAGAGTCTCACAGGCTTTCCTGCCTGGGCTGTCTTTGAACTGAGATCCTCAGATCTCAGCCTCCTGAGTAGCTAGGATTATGAAGTGAGCCATTAGCACCTGGCTAACTCTGTTTTATTTTTTACATGATTAATCAATAGATGATGTTTGGAATGTCTATCCCCTAAAGTCTCCCAGTCACTTCATTCCAAAAATGCTGTACTGAGATTGTCAACAGCTATCTAAACTATCTAGCTGAGATT